GGGCTCATGCGGGAGGGGGGAGCGGGGAGGGAGGGGAAAAATGAGGACCTAATGTCGGGGGTTTAAATGGAGAGAAAATGTTTTGAGAAACGATGTAGAAATGCGCTTTACACAATTGATGTGTGTATGGATTGGGATAACTGTTGTATGAGCCCCAAATAAAATGATTTTTTTAAAAGAAAAAAAAAATTATAACTTATCAAGGGTTCATGAGGGAAGGGGGGAGTGGGGAAGGAGGGGGGAAAATGATCTGATGCCAGGGCCTTAAGTGGAGAGCAAATGTTTTGAGAATGACAAGGGCAATGAATGTACAAATGTGCTTTACACAATTGATGTGTGTATGTATTGTGATAAGAGTTGTATGAGCCGCTAATAAAATGATTTTTTAAAAGTTTTTGTAATCTGCAGAAATAAGTGTAGTTAAATTTTTTAATATTTATTTCTCCAAATTCTTTTCCAAGGTGTTTTAAGAAAGGCGCAGAAAACCATAAACAACTAAATGAAAAAGGAACCTTTCATTTAGCCATTTATGGTTTTCAGAATGCTTTACATAGTAGACAGACTCCCATTTAGCCCCAGATGCTTATGAAGTGACAGTAGCATCAGATTCTACTCTGAGCTTGGCAGTGCACTCTTAAGTGATGTACCTGAATTATCTCATAATTAATTCTCCACACAACTTCCCCCCTCCCCCCGTGTCCCTATGCAGTTCCTATCTCTATAGATCTACCTATCCAGGATTTCATAAACAGAAAAGCTTACAAAACAAAACACAATCATATAAAATCTTACAAAGGAAACAAACCAAAAGCATTGGCACACGATGGCTGACTAAATCCCACCCACCATCTCTTTTTATGCATAGTTTCAGTGATCACAGGCATGCTCATTCATACCATAGCATGGCTCCCACAGATTTATTCTCTGGCCTTTGGAGCAAATGTTAGCTCACCCTTGAAATAGACACCAATTTTCATGTAGTGGTGTGTAATCTCTTTGTGGTAGTTGCTATAGTTTTACACTTATTTGCTCAATTACAGTGCTTGGTGGAAGTGCTTTCTGTCCTCAACTTCTCCCAAACCAATCAAGGAGCCATATCACTACACGCCTGAGTTTCTGTGTGTGGTCCTTGCTTAGTGACTGAGTTTCTGTTTGGCCTTTTGAAGACAGTGTGCATTTTAAGAATTCCAAGACTTCTGTTACTGTTAACCTATCCAACTATTTTGTGACTGTTAACCTATTGTAACTGATCTGCCTATCCAATGCTAGCACGCATCCTATGAAGAATAAACTGATCATTGATAGTAAGAAGCAGGTAGAGATTGTAGCTGGTGGCTTTACTTTATTTGACATCCCCTTAATATCTGAGAGTTGGGGGAAGAATTCCCATTTAAATAATCAAGACAGTTGCATTGCACTTCAGTATCGTTTGTTGATACAAAGTGAATATGCTTCTTTATACAGCAACAGATTATTTAATTTGTTTCCTTTTATAGCACTGTGAAATAAACACATGGAAACTGGGAGAAGAATAAAAAACGTATTGTGCGTCTGCTGATCATTTCACACCCATCCACACAGTATGATTCCTCAGTACTTCACCTTGTTGCTATGAGTAATGGATTGGAAGGATATATAAACCATATAGTTTTAAGCCCTTGAATTCTTGTAGCCTTTCAAGTGTTAGGCAGCCTTTGCAGTATTGCTGTGTCTGTCATTTATTGTCTTGTACTGTGTGGAAGCAAACTTCTGACTTGATAATTAAGTAATTTAATCATTGAAAGACATCACCCCC